TTGTTCATAACAAACACCGAGAATAGGTGATTTCTGGTTATTGTAGTTCGAATAGACTAGAACTCATAGGTTTGTAAGACTGCTCTGTGTAACCATTCTAGGTGGAAATAAGCTCTAATATCGGTTCAGATTGTTTGGTCTTAGGATTGTTTTTACTGCTTGAACATGCAGATTGTGGTGCTAGAGGAACAGAAAAATGAAGCAGCTGAAAACGTTGAGGACGAAGGTAAACCATGTGAGGCTGAACCTTGTGACGCAGAGCCAACTTCCAGGAATGATGGTTTTGACGAAAAACCTGACATTAGTGACGCACTTATGGATGAAAGTCAGGTGAGTGCCAAAGTCATTCTAGATACTTTCATAGATGACATACTTCATTGAGATGCTAATACATAAAACATAAATGATAAATGGCATCTCATTGCACTGATTCATAGGGAAGGTTGATGAAATTGAAGCCAATTTGACTTTTGTAGCACTATTTTCGTTTGTTACGATGAGTCTCACAGTAATTACTGAATATTATTCCTTTTGAGTCTAATGACTTAACTCCAATTCTGTGTCTCAGGAAGATACTAAAATAGCGCGGCAAGATCTGAACAAAAGCACTTTGGATTTGAGCTTGGGTTGAATGGAACATATGGTGAGTCTAGTTCAAAAACGGATCCCAATGGACAGTTGGGAAGAGTGAAATCGAGTAGCGGCTTCCATGTCGTTTCAGCATCTAGATGGAGATGATAACTAGACATTAGCCTCCTCATTTACAGCCTTTTCTTAGAGATCCAAATTTCCCTTCGGCCTTCCAACTTGCAGTCCTTTGTCTTTTAGTTAGAGAACATTGAAATGGTTTGTCTCTGTATTTTTAGTCCCGCATTGCATTTGTGAGCTGATTGCAACTTGTATTGATTGAAAACAGAATATATCTTTTTTTGTTTCCCCTGTGGACATACAGATTATTATCAAATTACAAACTCCCACAACCGATCGTTGCTTGAATAATGTACTGAGGAAACAAAAGACTTCGGAAGATTCTGTCGTCATTCATTTACGTTAGCTGGTTCTACCTTCGCCTCTGAAAGGAAATCATGTCTGAACATAGAGAAAAAAAACATATAAGCAGTGCATAAGAGAGCAACCATATGCAATAAATGGCAATAAGAAGCAAGAAAAGGAGAAAATGTCATGGAAACAAAGCTAAAGAAACCATCATTTTACATATAAAGGCAAGTAGGTTCAGTTTTTTTGGCAGACGTCAGCTTCAATGTGGAAAGGAAGAACGTATTCTTTAGCCAGACATGCTAAAATAAGCATTAGATAAATGATTGAAATACTAAATGTCTCTTTGCTTGCACAGCCAATAGATTCGAAACATGTTGCAGAAGTTCAAACAAGGAAGGGGAAACAAATATCATCAGTTGCGTCGACTTGCTGTACTTTTTGAGCTAGTTGGTATAAGCCTGTTCCAGCCATAACAATGTTTACACTAAAGAGGTTCCAGTTTTTCTGCATTTTGAAATCACAGAATGACCTCAATCAGAAACAAACCAAACCAAATCTACACAGAACAAAAATCTAGGTCGAATGTACATGTACGCAGTCGATTGTTCATATATTTCTCTTTGATAATGCTGATTTCCCGGAACTTTTAGAAGGAAGGTAATCCAAGTAAGAATCATCAAACTTACAGGAGTCATTACAGTGCTATAGCGTGACCAGATAACTCCAGTGCAAGTAACCGCTGGGTACCAGAAAATAACACTCAGAAAACCAGAAGAATGTAGCAGAAATACTGTTAAAATGAGAGGCAACAGAACAAGTGTTGAACGTATAAATATAAAGAAGCAACTACGAGAATCGACATTACACGAAAACTCGATGAGCATAACATACATATTTGCTGAGGGTAGGAAAGTTTTTCTGGTGGCTTGGTGAAATCAGCTACATTGGCTATGCTAATGCCCCATTAAAGGTTGGTGCCCAAAAGTGAACTGATGAAAGAAACAAGCCATTAGCTTATGAATGCTTTAAGAATTGATAGTCGGAGTCGTTTGAAACACCTTGTTAGTACAAAGAAATAAAGCGAAAATCGAGCATTTTCGTCTATTGTACTGTTGATACTATAGGGGACTATCAGAAGCTCATAACAAATTAACAACTCACATCCACTATCAATTCTGGAATCTATGACAATCGCAGTTGCAATCATTCTTCACTTTCAATCATGTAAAATGTTAAATCCTATACTCATATTAAAAGGTCATGGGCAGAAGGAATAACAGAAACATGTTAATAAAGAGAAACCCAACTCATCTATATCCAACATTATCTCATACAAAGCATGAATCTTGTCACTGCAAATTGATTCGGAAAAGAAAAGAAGAGAGATTCTGATTTCTTTAATTAATGGAAAAATGAGAGTAAAGGGTCCATTAATACGGACAGTTGATATGCAATTATCATCGCTAAAAGAGTAGAGGAGAGTCAACTCACTGGTTTTGGGGCTGGCTGGGTGATTCCATAGAGCTTGGAGCTTGGAGGAGGCCATTGAGTCGACACTTTTACTCTTCTTCAGTTGATATGCAATTATCATCGCTAAAAGAGTAGAGGAGAGTCAACTCACTGGTTTTGGGGCTGGCTGGGTGATTCCATAGAGCTTGGAGCTTGGAGGACGACATTGAGTCGACACTTTAACTCTTCTTCAATAAAATGGAATATTTGGCCGAGTCAGCAAATATTGGTTGGTAGCTTATAGTGCTGCACGAGTTGGTTCGTTCTCCAAAGCCTAGCCAACAGTGTGTATCTTATCAATAAAGGGTTAATTACGCTGGATATCGAAAACTATGGATCCGAAATTTAAATCAGTCCTAATTTCGAACCTTTCTAATTAACTGTGTCATCTAGTTTAGATATAGAATACTTGCTTGGTATATTCTAAATACGTTTAAACTTATTATATGAATAATTTAAATTTGAAGTTAAAAAAATCTTAAATTTTATTGAGATTGTATTCATTATAATTTAGCTAAGGTGGTGTTTGTTTTTACTGTGCAAGCTCTTCAAACCACTTGTGTCTGCGTCGCGCAGACCACGCGCAGACATTAGGCTTCGCAGATTGTTTGTTTTTTAGAAGACAGAAGCTCTTCAAACGTCTGCGCGAGCTCTTCTTGGTGCAGACTTGGTTTTATGTCTTCAAAGGTCTTCAAACCTCTTCAAGAACAATTATAAAATATAATTATTTATTAAAATAATTTTAAATAATTTAATAAGGTTATTTATTTTAAAATAATTTATTTTAAAATAATTTATTATAAAATAATTTATTATAAAATAATTTATTATAAAATAATTTATTTTAAAATAATTTATTATAAAATAATTTATTTTAAAATAAATTATTATAAATATGGATTGATTTTTTTAAAATAATTTATTTTAAATAATTTATTAGTATGGATTGATTTATTTTAAAATATGGATTAATTTATTTTAAATAATTTATTAGTATGGATTGATTTATTTTAAAATATGGATTGATTTATTTTAAATAATTTATTAGTATAGATTGATTTATTTTAAAATATAGATTGATTTATTTTAAATAATTTATTTGTATGGATTGATTTATTTTAAAATATGGATTGATTTATTATTGTAGTTTTATGGATTGATTTATTTTAAATAATTTATTTGTATGGATTGATTTATTTTAAAATATAAATTGATTTATTATTGTAGTTGTATGGATTGATTTATTTTAAATAATTTATTAGTATAGATTGATTTATTTTAAAATATGGATTGATTTATTTTAAATAATTTATTAGTATGAATTGATTTAATTTAAATAATTTATTTGTATGGATTGATTTATTTTAAAATATGGATTGATTTATTATTGTAGTTGTATGGATTGATTTATTTTAAAATATGAATTGATTTATTTTAAATAATTTATTAGTATGGATTGATTTATTTTAAATAATTTGTTTGTATGGATTGATTTATTTTAAAATATGGATTGATTTATTATTGTAGTTGTATGGATTGATTTATTTTAAATAATTTATTAGTATGAATTGATTTATTTTAAAATATGGATTGATTTATTTTAAATAATTTATTAGTATGGATTGATTTATTTTAAAATATGGATTGATTTATTATTGTAGTTGTATAAATTGATTTATTTTAAATAATTTATTAGAATAAATTGATTTATTTTAAAATATAGATTGATTTATTTTAAATAATTTATTATTGTAGTTGTATGAATTATTTAAATTCCAGTATTGTAAAATAAAATTATTTAAATCTCAGTATTGCAAAACTCTTTTAAGTTTAAAAAATCAGTTTATTTATATTTCAGTTCATTTTAGCAGTCTGCAGACGTTAAAAAATAAACAATCTTCTTCTTATAGACTGTAGACTTTTGGTCCACCTCTTCTGCTGCAGATGCCCGCAGATGTGGTCCGCAGACTGCAGACCTTTTACCTCTGCAAAAACAAACACCACCTAAATGTTTTAAATATACGTCATTGAAAAGGCGAAACTAGGATTGAATATTGATAAAGGTATAATTATTCTAAAAAAATTTCTTAAATATTTAAATATAAAAGTTAAAAGATCAATAAATCTTGTTTAATTAATACTTAAACTAAAAAAACCTCTTAATCCTTTAATAGCGTCGTCCAAGTTACCACTTTAATGTCGATGGTTAGGTTGATAAGTCGTAAGAAGACCTTATTGATATGAAAATCATACTATAAGGACTTCGTTATAATATATAAAAGTTTGACACTAATTTAGAACTAACGAAATAGTTTAAGAACTTATAGTTGAATTATCCCATGGTAGCGGCGAGATTTATTTTGGAATTAGGATTCCGAGAGGTTATTTCAGTTTTGGTGTAATTGAAGAAGCCGTGATAGTTCCATGGATTCTCCCACTCAAAACACTTCCTTGCAGCGGCTTCAAAATGTGGAGAAGGTAATTGATTAATTTCCACCCTTGGACTTATTCAACGATAAACCGCATTTTTTTTTAGAGAAATTAGCTTCTTTGATACAGAGAATAGTTAGGGTTTTGGAGTTGGCAGGAGGTGTTGTGGATGAACTCGCCACTCCAACAGGTCCCAGGAAAGAATTCATCAACAATCATTGCCGTGAATTCATGAAGATGATCAAGGTTTCTCCTTTCCTCCTATAGATCAAATTTTTAGCTTCATTGTGGTCTTAAGCATTAATTGTAGTATTTAAACATTAAATTTTTCCTGTTTTGAAAAAGAAAGGACATCCAAGTGACATTGAGGGATGAAATCAAGAGTGCTTGTGAGTATCGCCCCTTTGAGAAGTGCGATTACAGTTCGAGAATTTCGAACGAGATCTGTTGCAAGAAACTCAAATACATTCTCTCTCAGCTGGATTCAATGGAACAAACCATTGATGAATATCAAGCTACCATTTAAAGATAGATAGACTGTTTAATAGCCGGATAAGGTTAGTACCATCGGTGCTTGCTTGAAAAATTGTCTTAATGAAACAGCAAGGGAAAGCTGAATACATTCTCTTTTGTTTTAGCAAAAGTAATTTCATCTCTTATATCCTTTGCTGAGATTATCTTCTACATATTTGCATTTTTGGTATTTTTCGTTGTACTAGGAATCAGATCGCCTCTCTCTCTCTTAACTTTGGTTACCACTGTTCATGTCTTAATTTGGAGGCTGTAGTGAGTTTGTTTGGAGTTTCACCATGAATGAAAGTGGAACCTTTAAAGCCACCCTGCTTAAATTGCTGAGATTCCGTGCATAGTTTGCTAACAACTGTTATGGTAACTTAGTTCCAACATATATATGAGCTCTGTACGTATGGTATACTTATACCGAATCCAAATTAGTTATATAAACTAACAAAGGTTTTTTTTATATTTTTTTTTTCCATTTTGAAGCAAATTAGAACGTGTTAAGCGATGTTAGTATGCTTGATTTGTCCATCAATTTTAGAACACTAAAATAAATAAAAAAATTAAAAATAAACATTAATCCATAGGTAAGATGTACGTGTATGTATATGTCCCATCAATAGCATGCATGTGAATGAAGGGTTCTTATCTTAATTTTACTTTATTATTGAATTGCATTCATGTGATATCTTTACTTCTTTATTTTCTTATATTTTCCAACGATTATCAGGTTATTTTGTTTTGGGTAAACTACACTGGTAGTCCCTACACGGTTAGGAAATTTACAATTTGATCACCAAAATTCTAAATTTTTTACTAAACTCTTAATTCGTTTCCATTATGTCACATGACATTTTCTTTAATAAATTATTGGTCTTCAATAAGATGACAGGACGTGTCACTATCTTATTAGAGAGTATTAATTTTTTTAAAAAAATGACATATGACATGTTGACTTAGTTGTTGTTAATGCCTATCGGCCACTCTTAACAGTAGTGACTATATGTAAGTTTTAAATGTTCAGTTATTAAAATGTAAGAGTCCTAAAAATTTAGGGACTAGCGGTGTAGTTTACCCTTTTGTTTATAGAACCAATGGTTGGTTCATCATCAAATGTTTCATCTCTTTCCCACCTTTGTTTTTCCTTCACAATATTGCAAGATGCAAGTGGAAGGAAATTGTTGGCAAATCACGCGTTTGTGAATTCTAACCAGAATAAAGATAAAAAAAAAAGACACTTTAAGGATTCCCATTTGTTGAAAACAAAAAAGGATTAATTATAAATTTCATCCTTCTATTTTGTAAAATTATGAAGTTCGTCTTTTCATTTTAATTTGTTAGAACTTAGTGTATTTTACGAAAGCCGAGAAGTTAATTCAGTTGGATAACATTGTCATTGAATTACTGAAAGAACATCAGGCATGTACAAATTATTATGAAATAATCTTGATCAGAGAAGAGGGAAGTGTTTCTACATGATAGATTCAGGCCTGTACAGGTATAGATGAGCTCATAGATACACATCCCTTTAACCGTTCGAGAATGGCATTTCGGCTGACCAGTCCCGAGTGGGAAGTTAATGGAAGGCCCTCCTTTACGCATCCGTCGTACTTATCCAAGATGGAAACAATTTCAGAGAAATCTGGCCGCTTTGCAGGGTTACCTGCCCAGCAGCGCTTTATGAGGTGTGCAAGTGCTGGCTGACAGCTCTCCGGCAATGGAGGCCGTTCGTTCTGCAGAAAAGAAAGGATCAACGTTAAAGGAGCTACATCATAAGGTTAAGCATAGAGGAACAAGCTTTTACAAACTGTACTAACCCACCTCATGTCTTATGTGTAAGAACTAAGAATGTGTGAGTTTATGTAGCATATAGAGTTCAAATGATTGTTTCTTACAACTCATAATTGTACAATTGATCTTAGGTTTTATCTTAGACTGTAAAACGAAATCATTGTCTCAAGAAACAAGAATGATTCTACAATACGAGAAGAAGCTACCGTCGAAAGTGTGCTCATTGACAATTTAAGTGACGAAAATAGTGCTGTAAAGCCAGAGATATCAAACCTTTTCAGCCACGGCAAAAGCAGCTTGCACAGGGGTCATTCCTTGAAAGGGAAGCAAACAGGTTGTAAGCTCCCATAACACAATCCCGAAGCTGTACACATCGACCTTCCTCATATACGGTTTCTCTTTTATCATTTCGGGTGCCATCCATCGGTACGTTCCCATGTTTCCTTTGGTTTCAAGGCACTGTGTTTCTAAACACGATGTACCAAAATCCGCCACCTTTACCCGCATTTCGTCGTTTAGCAGCAGATTATTAGATTTGAGATCTCTGTGGATGACACCTTGTGAATGAAGATACTCCATCCCTCGGGATATGTCGAGAGCTAACCTCAGTATCGTCTCCGTCGAAAGCGAGTAGGGTTCTTTCTTGTTCAGATACATCCTCAGAGTCCCTTGTGACATGTATTCTGTGATGATACAGTACACAGGCGGCTTCTTACAAGCAGCAATAAACTGTAAAAAAGGGACAAACTTTAGCAACACAGAGATAGACATGTATGTATATTTTAGGTGTTACCTGAACTATATTGGGGTGAAAGAGGCGTGAAAGCAAAGCTACTTCAGACTTGAACTGCTGCTCGAGTTTCGACCTGGTCTCCTCCTTTTGGTTCGGGACTCTCACCATTTTGACAGCAACAGCTCTCTGCTTATAAATCCCACGATAGATTCTACTATGAGCGCCAGATGCAAATTTATTACCTATGAACAGTTGAGAAAGATCAGCTGTCCACTCCTCTTGGTCCTCCTTTGAAACTTCCCACGTCTCCACATTCTCCGAGTCCAAAATCATCGACCACGATTCCAAGCTATCGAATCTCCTCTTTTCCATGTTCACCATATCAGAATTCATCTGTGCCTTGGACGACGACGAAGGGAGCTGCAGGTGTTTGCTCCTCGATTTTCGAAGGCGAAACGCATGGAAACACGAGCTTCCCATTGACAAGCTGATACGTACTTGAAAGGGTTAAGTATGTGTGTTTAGTGTCAAAACAAACAATCAAAAGGCATCTTCCTTCTGAATGTGTGGATTGAATTCAGGAACTTCATGAACTGATTCAAAAACATGGGATTTCCAGGAGAATGAAAAAGGGAGAATGGGTTTCATGAATTCCTCTGGAAAATGACAAAATCAAAAGAGAATAGCAAATTCATGGGATTTGGAAACGCAGAGAGAAAGGGTGCAAACTTTTCACTGCAAACTTCTCACGGCATCTAAGGTGGTTTAGCAGCAGAAAGATGAATTCAAAGCAGAGCTTTTCAAGGGTATCTCGTGATTGCTTGGTTCGAAAGTAAGAAACTTTTTTGAGATGGATAAATGGGTCTTTCGTTTCTTTCCAACATCATTCATCAATCTAATCAATGCTAAATGGCCATTCAAGTTTGCCTTTCGTCTTTATCATTGCATTTACAAGATCAAAACTCTGGGTGCCATTGCTATTTAAAAGCATCATTGCTTAATTGTTTTCATCTATAAACTTTTAAAAATTATAAAATAAACATTAATTGGATCAAATAATTATAAATTAATCTAAATTCCATCCCAAATTAAAATAATCCTTAAAATATCATCCGAATTCTAACTCAATTAGGCCCTTCTATCAATTTAGTTTTCATTTTAGGCATTAAGTGCCTCCTTAAATTTAACATGGATCATATTCAAAATATATGGATCAAATTTATAAACATGTGTATACCAAGCTACTAACGGATAAATTATATTTTATATGGCAAAACTAAAATTATAGTTCTACTAAAATTTAGTAAAACCTTTTTTAAACATCACATCTAAATTATATATGTATTAAATTGATACATGTTTATAAATTAATTCACGCACTTTTAAAATATGTTCCATATAAGATTTGAGTTGTCATTTAATATCAAATCAACGAATCGAATGAATAAAGGACTTAATGGTTGAGATATTGATATTATCAGGATTCACTTACAATATTTTAATTTTTTGAACCTAACTGATAAGATATCGATACTTTAAGGACTCATTTGTATTATTTAAAATTTTTAAAACTAATTTAGAAATTGATCATAGTTTGAGGATGTCTATTACAATTAACCCTTATTACTGTTGTACCCAAACAAACTAACTAATGATTTTGGAGGGAGTTGTTTGCGCTGGCAAGTGGATACCCATTTGAATAAAAAACCCAAAGGTTCTTTAATATGTTTGGTTCATTGCTTATGGAACTTTTCTTCTTTGACTTACAATCTAAGCCATTGCCTTTTAGTTCATTAGGAATCATTAAAAAAGACTTTTACTGATTAGAATAATCCATTAAAATTTAATTTTTAATAAATTTATTTAAATAAAATATTTTACCAATTAAAATTTTTTAAATGTTAGTTACGTCATAACACAAATAAATTATAGATAGATTAATTAAAAAACACAAACAAATCACTCCATAGTTTGTTACAAATAAATCTTTAGATCACTGAAAATGAAATGGATTTATAATTTTTTTTAATGATTTTCTTATTGGGTAAATGACACCACAAGTCATCCAATTATCAGTAGATTACAAATGGGTCGCCAATTATTATTAAGATGATCATATTCTTAAAAATCAAAGTGAATTTTACGATAACATTTGGAATTTGTTCTAATATATAGAAGAGAAATCTCCCAAATACAACAATGCCTATTTATTTGTCTGAAGTAGCTCCACGTCAGACGGTTTCTGTATGAATTCAATACATAAAAATTGCAATAGGAAATTTATAAAGCAAAAGGGAAAACCAACACATGTATTGCATAAGAAACTAGAGCCTTGAGGAGGTTCCTCCTGCTACAATTAAGATCTCTCCTGTAACGTAAGAAGCATCTCGGAAGCTAAGAAAGCAGCCGCGGCTGCTATTTCTTCAGGTGACCCAAGTCTTTTCAATAGTGTTATGTCCTCAAAGGATTTTTTCTGCAACAAAAATCCCGATCCCAATTTTAATGACATACGAGATGAAATTTTTACGTTACATTAACATATATAATGTTCTTTCAAATCATGTCAACTTACCGTGGCTTCATTGGCTGTTACGAAAGTCGCAAACCGTGTCGGTACGAAACCCGGAGCGATAGCATTGACTCGAACATTTGGCGCCAACTCAGCTGCCAGAGCCTAATAAAGAATCAACCAACATAGCCAGGTTAGTATTATCATTGTGTAAACTATGCAAAATTTGCGCAAGTCCTGAATGTGTGTGTAAAAGAGAGAAAAAACCAACCTTAGTGAGACCAAGAAGGGTTGTCTTAGTAACCCCATACATGGCCATAGAAGGCTGAGGTTGATAACCACCGTATGATGATATAAAGATAATCGATGAACCTTTCTTCAAATGAGGAGCTGCATCCTGCATTATGCAACCAAAACAGATTAGCTTCACATCAAATAAGCTATGGTAATTAAGGATACTTTGTTAACCTTAATCATCTACTTTCCATTACCTGCAGAAGAAGTATGGATGCTTTGACGTTTGTTTCCCATAGCTTGTCCAGGATGGATTCTTTGGTTTCCAACAGGGGCACGTTAACAGGATTTACAGCAGCATTTGATACAATCACATCTATTTTCCCATATTTCTGAAACCAATTACCCAAAGGATTCAACATTGTTGCCAAGAGAATTGCGTATTAAATCTTATCAGCAACAAATAAGAGAGAATTGGCCATCAAAACGGGTTAGACTCGGACCTTGAACGTTGAAGCTCGAAAATGACCCATGTTTTAAACATACCTTTAGATCTAATATTTTTGTTCAAACCCTCTCAAATTTCGATCAAGCCAAATATAGATGATTAACCCAAGCAAACTACCAACCACCAGTAGAATTGCCAAAAGCGATGAAGACGCTTTACATGGGCAGGACAGGGTCAAATTCTCACATCAAATGGAAGAGATCAAAAGGAAATGTTCGAGTTCTCAAGTTTATTAATTTCTTTTTTGTCCAGTGGTTGATACTGGAATTTAAGATTTTCATTGACTAACCTCGACGGTTGTGTTTATTAGATTCTTCCGTTGCTGGGCGTCTGATACATGACAAACGATTCCCAGAACATGTATTCCTTTAGCTTTAAGCTTTTCGACGGCCTCATCCACGTTTTTCTACAATTACACCGCAAAAACATAATCAACATCCATCGTCATGTTCAAAACAAATCAAACAACCACCAATTTCACCACAATTTTTTGCAAAGCAAAACAGCAGGCGTTTTTCCCGAAAAATCACCGGTGACCGGTATATTTACCGATCTAACACCGGTCATATTATATTTCCCGATCTAACACCCGTAGCAGTAAAGCGCGCTCTCTGTCTCGCGCTATATACTGATTTGGCGCCACATGGGGTATAGTGCTCCCCCTGTACCGCGCTATACGCTGACATGACTTACACGTGGGTATAACGCGGCCCCTGATCCGCGCTATATCTATTTATCTGACACGTGGGTTTTAGAGCGATATAAGGGACGCACTATACCTTTAATTACCCCCAATCCTCCCTATAAATACCTCTATCCTCTATTACTTTCGTCACACTATATTTTCTCAAATTCTCTCAAATACTCTCTCTATTTAAGGTATATTTTATAATATTTTTAATATTATGTATTTAATTTATTTAAGCATTTTACTAATATAATTGTTTTGCAGATATATAATGGAAGGCGGTCTACTTCGCTTGGATGGAAATCATATATCTCGACAATTTGCGGATACGGTAACATTTTAACGTTTTAATTTAATTTAAATTATTTGTAATAATGTTGATTTATTTAATGCATGATTATTAGATTAAGAATTAATTTGTGTAATTATTTAATTTTAGGAGAAGGATCGTGTATTAGATCCTTTTATTAGGAATCTTAAGTTAGTGATACTTAGCCGTGTCTTGCTGTATTTAGTAGAGGTTGGATTTGGTTACATAGGTAGATATCAGGGTCACTGTAAGATAAAACCAGACCTTATTTCTGCCTTAGTAGAGCGGTGGAGGCCGGAGACCCACACATTCCATCTTTCGTGCGGAGAGTGCACGATTACACTTGAGGATGCTACTATGCACCTAGGGCTTCCGGTGGATGGAGATGTGATATCAGAGATCTCGCAGGGTTCCTGGACTACTTTATGCCGGGATAATCTAGGACGTTTCTCGGAAAGTTTTATCTGAGGTAGGATACCGTTAAATTGGTTAGATGTCAATTTTCGGGAGTTGAGCGCAGACGCCTCTGAGGATGAAGTTAAGATGTATGCAAGAGCATGCATACTGCAGTTGATAGGAGGGTTGCTGATGCCGGAAAAATTGCGCAACCTAGTTCACTTCATGTGGTTGTGACATCTTAGCGACTTTCGTCTGGCCGGATCATTCAGTTGGGGCTCGGCAGTTTTGGATTTGCTGTACAGGGAGATGTGTGGAGTCACTGACTACAGGCGTAATGCTATCGGCGGATGTCTCCTGCTGCTGCAGTCTTGGGCATGGTATCGATTGCCTTTTTTATGTTCCGTTGTGAAGAACCCATTCGTATTTCCACTACTTCTGAGGTAATTATAAAACTGATTTTGTATATTAATAATTTTTATACAGCGTGTAATAATGTTTTTCCTTGAATAGGTGGTCTGCTGATAGAAAAAATCATCAGGAGCTACCTGATGATTTAGAAAAAATTAGGGTGCTAATCGATCAGAAGGCTGGCACACATGTATGAATTTTAATGTTTAAAAATCGATTTTAGATTATAGTTATATAATTAGATTATTATTTTGATAAAAAATTATATAATATTTGTTTTAGTTTGAATGGGTGCCATATTGTACTGATGATGTGAGGGCGGTGAGCCCACCTGAGTTGAGGGGCCCATTAGATATTGGATGGCGATGGTCCCTCTGATCTGTTATGCGACCGTCGAGTGACACTCTACTGATCGCATGCTCTG